AGCGAGATGGCTGTATTAATTAAGTGCAGAGCTGATGAGTATTTTCGGAGGGAAACAATGGAACTCCTCAATTACAAACAGTACTCAATGCATGTTTTGTTAATTTAAAAAATATAAAAAAGAATGCAGGCCTGGCCAGGCATATTTAGGTGATTTACTCTGGCTTATGAAAAGTGGAAAATATAAACTTTTTCATACAAAAATAAAAACAGACTTCATGTTAGTTTTCCAATTACAGAGCATAATGCGACTCAGTGGCTACCAATGCCGAATTATGCTGATGATTAATTGGAACGTGAATTAGTTTTCAAATGCACCAGCAAAGTGCGCTAAGTTCAGTGTTGAAAAAAAAGTGGAATATAAAAAAAGTCAATATTTGTTATATATAATAGTTTGAATTAACTTTGATTATTTAAAAAAACCTACAATGAAACAAAAGTTTTAAAATATTTTCAACGATAAATAATATTACTAACGATAATATTTAAACAAAACATTTCGATCAATGCCAACTTAAAAACAGTGCGTATGAACACAATTTTCGCCTTTCCAGTATCGATGGAAACGGTGCAGTGTGTAAAATTTTTGCCACGGGACCAACGTTCGACGCATCACCGCGGTCGTCGGTTCAAATCCCGCACTCGTGTTTTATTTTTTATTACATTTTTTTCCATTTTTTATATATTTGTTTTAGACCCCAGCACCTGTTCTTATTTTTATTTGTCTCCCTTTTATTTAGACTTTATAATTATAATTTTTGGACCTAAGGTGGTAAACTGTGGAGCATGTGGAAGTTTTTTGGCGCCGGGCAATGCTGTTGTTTGCTGTGCTTGCCCAATAAAATATCATAAGGCCTGCCTCGCCATCTATTAATATCAGAGAAAAAACTTGAATTAATATCAAAGAAAAAAAATACTGCATAAATAAATAGTATTATTGCATAAGTTGACAAATAATTCTATGCAATAGCTTTACCGCGGCAGTCCCCGAGTGCAACACGATTTTTTTTTAAGTACACGATTTGCATACCTATTTTCTAAATACAGTGGAGCCCCGGTAATCCGGCCCCTGGCTAATGCGGCACCCCCTATAATCCGACATCGTCTATTACATACAAGTATTCGCTAATTCACTATTGAACAAGTTACAACTTGTACGCACCATCACAATTGTGCTCGACGCGTAGGGTATTGTTTTTTATATTTTTTTGTAAATTCTATAGCATTTGACGTTACTTTTATAATAAAACATAATCTTTCTATTGTGTTGTTTAATTTACTAAATTTGACATACATAACAAAGTATGTTTTGTAATCTTATCATTGGATCTGTAATTTGTCGGATTACAAGGTACTCTTTTGTAAAAAAATTCGGACTATAGGGGGTCTTAGGCAGTACTCTATAATCCGACAAATTCGATAGTTCGACACTGCCCTGCAAAATGTTTGTCGGACTACCGGGGATCCACTGCATTCTTTTAAGACCCTTTACTTTGATACCTCGCTTGACGGGTTATAAGCATTTTTTTTCTAAAGGTTTCATTTTGGCGCCTTATTATTGGGCATACATACATGCATACACGCTCGAAAAACATTATCCACCGCAGTCGGGTAAAATTTTGAACAATTAAAATATTTTGATCTTTTTACTGGTAAAAAATTGGCTAACCTAGCAACCCTGCATTCACTCACTCATAGATAACCGCCGCCATTACGGTGCCTCACTTTTGTCTTAGCCGAAATTCTGTCCGCCTTTTTTTATACGTCCTTGCTTGAGGCATTGAGGTTATTTATACGCGAAGATCTCTTTCTCGAAGTTGGGCTGTTTGTCCCAGATATACTTACGTAATTAGTGGTCAACGACTACAACAACTCCAAGCGTATCTACTTACTTATTGTTGCTAATTTTCACTGGAGCAGATAATAAATGAGCATTTCACTTGATTTTATCTTATCCATGTTCATCTTACTTAAGACTCACTCTTTGGGAAGCAATAATAAGATTTTCTCAAGCATTAATATGTTCAGAACCAGACCTTCCAAGGTCTATGTCACAGGTAGTTCACCGTCATTGGCGAAACGAATGTTGATGCCACGTCCTTTTCAATCCAGAAACTTAAATATATTCAACGCAGTATGTTTTGGCATATTGCATCTCTTTTCGTGTTTCGCGTCTCCTTGCATTTGGATATGATAGGTTCTGTAATCGGACTGTCAAAGCGTTTTGGAAAAAGGTACCTTATGTAAAGATCTAAACATTAACACGTTCCTTAGCACCTCAACTATAACTGTAGTCTATATATATATAAACTTTTAAACATCTTTGAAAAGACAGGGGGCTAATTTTGGCAAAGATTAGATAATGCACAATGCACGGAACTGAATATTTTGTTTTAACGCAATAATATTGATTCTTAGGTACGTCCATATGCACCCATAGGTACGTAATAAGTACAAAGAGAGATAATCTCATTAAATTGATAAGAATTAGGGTACTCATTTTGACATTTAAAGTAGGTAATAAAAATATGAAGCAATGGGATTAGAAATATTTCAATAAGATAAAACGAAAAACAAACTTATTACGCAATTTTATTTTCATAATAAAGCAGCATAAATACCTACATAGATAGGTACCTAGTATATTTAAATTTAACCGACCTTCAATTTTAATATAAAAAATCTTGTAGAAAATATCAATTTAACATTAGGATTTAATGTGATTGTTTTTGTCTGACGTCTTGCCGTGGTAGTAATGATGGCAGCAAAACTGACTAAATGATAAATAGAAAATAGAGACAAACAATACAAACAAAAGGAGATGGCGATAATTATCCCAGAGTAGTTTCTTATTTGTATGGGAACAGAAAAACATAAACATAATAGAATTACGTACGTATGTGTATTTTTGTGTATAATTACGTCTTCTTACCTGTCAATGACATCAACTGCGGCCTGTTGCTAAACACAACCGTGTCTATGGGTTTATGTTAAGTATTATTTACACTCATTTGTAAAAATCGAGCACATGACTGAGGAAATAACGATACAATAATACTGAACCAAATCCCAGATTTATTTGGTTGTGTGAGGGCGCAAGGTCATACTAAATAATAATTGAAATCTTAATAAACTTAACGTAAATCATAATAATCCTGTAAAAGTTTCATTTCATTTTAAACAAAAAGAAAATTTGCGCGGTTAAAAATTATTCAAAATGTCAGGGAATTCTATGACACAAGTTAGATTTTCAGCTCTTGCTATACTTTCAATAGAAAATTGTCGCAGCTTTTTCGTTAGATTATAATAATTTCTTTGGTTATATTATGTATAAATAATTTTAATCTTAAAAAAACTATTTTTGCTGCATTTATAATTTTTAAATCTCCGATAAATAAAGAGAACGGGCAAAAATGAATGGAACCCTGGCTATAAACCAATAACCAAAAACACAATAACAAAAATAAAGTAAAAAAAATCCAATGATGTGGGATTTTTTTTACTTTAGTTTTGTTATGGCGGGAAGTGCCAAGGTGCGGGATGTGAAAAAAATTGAGACGCAATTAAGGCCATACGTTCGCAGAAATATTAGTGTTTATTTTTATGTTAATCATCAATTAATTTAGTTTACTATTTTATATAATCTGGGGCTGGAGAAATAAAGGGCTCATTAATGCATTCCATAGATAAATGATTATTCACCCTATCAAAGCGAGACCAAGCATTTGTCTTTGATGTCTTCCTACGCCTAGATACCAAACAATAGAAGTTTTAAACTATTTTCTGCCTGGATGTCATAACGATAAATTAATATCGTTTGGGTGTCATCATAACTTTTTTCACACAGCGATTTGGGATACTTCGCCATAACGACAATTAAAGTACCTACATAAAACACCCATTGCAAATATATATCGCATTTTGTTATTGGTTGCTAGGCAAAAACGCTCATCCTCCTTTATTTAATTAAACTAGCGGCCGCCCGCGACTTCGTACGCGTGGACTTAGCTGTTTGCATATACTTTTTGACCCAAAAAGGAGGTTCACTACTCGTTCCCCGTAGGTGATAGCGTGATAATATGTAGCCTATATATTGACCCGACTTTTTATTAATATTCGTGCCAAATTTGAAGTAAAAACATGCAGTACTTTTTAAGTTTATCCCGGTCATACATACAGAAAAACAGACAAAAATTCTAAAAACTATATTTTTGGCTTTGGTGTCGATTGTAGATATCACATCCCAAGTATTCTTTTTTAAAAAAAAATCAATGTACAGTTTTGAATTTCCTTCCATTTTATTATATGTATAAAATGGAAGAATGAATACATTTTTTGCGAGAATATTGTACAGCGTGGAGGAAGAGTAGATTTGGTGGTTGTGCTTCAGAGTTGAGATGGATTTCAGGATGCATTTGTATAAGAGCAGTTTGATTTCCAGCGACAGCTGTGATTTTTTACCTAGCAAACAGTGTTTTTTATTTGTGAATATATGTATTAAACTTACAATAAAAAACCAAGTAATCTACTTGAGATTGTTCGACGAGCATTTTAAGCCATATAGTTAACCTAATGATTATCGCATATGATCTTTGCACTATAAGTATCATCAGTATCAGCTACGATTATAATAAATTAATCATAACAGACGACTGATGTAAGCATAAGTTATATTAAGAAATTAAAAAACTAAAGTGCGGTTTTTATACAGTAAGAAAGATGCCTGGTCCGCGTGGAATTTCTTCTAGTTATATTTTTCTTTAGATTTAAACATCAAGCAGTTACATGCTTTAAAATAATAAAAATTATAAAGAAAGAGATGTTAAAACTAATTATTATTATGTACACAGCAAAAAAATATAAAATTACTTATGTCAACACAGCACGAGTGTAGAACTCCAACCTTTTGCATGGCATGACCTACAAATATTTGTTGACGAATAATGAATTACAAGTTACAAAAAAAAACACATCAATAATTTTATCAATTTGGATACTGACCTGTAAATAGTGTTGTTCAATGGTTGGGTTGTTCAATGGATCCTGGCCTCCAAACCGAGCAACAACAATGCCCTTTTGTTCCTTTATTAGAGAAACACTTATTGAAGAATTATGTATAATGATTACGAAAACAATAGATACTGTCACTTTTTAATTAAAAAAAATATATACTATCAAAAATTTAAATGTAACTGAAGAAAATTTACCCCTATCTCAGTGTATACGCAGTGCGCACGATTCAAGTTTTCGTACTAGTTAGCTCGCGAGCCCGATAAAAAAAAAAGAAGTAAACACGTCAGGCCCCGCTTGTTGAGTGGGCACGACAGAACGATGATAGACTCACAATCACAAACCAACCACAAATGCTTGTTATTTGAATGGATTGTGATGTGTGCTTCGCATGCAAGTTACCATCAGCCGCCAGGGCGCTCACGTGCATTGGACGGATTAAAAAAAATGTTCTAATGGTTATTATAAGTACCTTACTGCTGTTACGTTAAGAAATTGAACAAACGTAAATCACTATCTTTTTATTATTCTCCACGAAGTTGGTTTTGTATTTAATCTAAATAAAAACAATATTAGACACAAAATGTATATTGTTCTAGCCCTTAGCGTAAGCTGATATCATTTCGACTCTTCTATTATTATATTTTTTTGTAAGTAATCATGAATACTTACTAACAAAACTGATAAAATATACTATACTATAAATAGGTAAAAGTGTCTATGTTTTCAAACCACTTGACTTGCCCATTCCGTTACTTTGTTATTTTTAGTTAACCAAAAATGTAATGGCAGCGCTAAGCGCACGTTCCCTTTTTTCCAAAAATCTCGGGAGGTGCATGCATTAAATTAAATGTGTGATGAGCACAGCCAAAGCACAAATCATTCTAAACTAATTTCGATTTTGAGATAGACCCCAGAACAAAAATGGCCTAATATTGACAACTTCGATCAACGAGATAGACAATGATAATATCGACAGTGGAAATACGAAAATGCTTCAGTTTACGCCATTTTTTTCGGAGTCGATCTGTTTATGTTTATTGAAGATTTGAGTACTTTTTTGGCGCCTAAGCAACTCAATTTTTTGCGCTGGAGCGTCATAAATTTTGGTGGTTTTTCAACCAATTTATTATGCCCAACCTATTTGGCGTATCATTTGATGTTTCCTTGACAAATAATGTATGGCGAGCCGAGTGCTTTTCGCTTAAGCAACATCTAATTCGTAAAGTAAAGGCACTAGGTAACTTAGATATTTAGAAAATATTATTTTATGAATATGTTTTTATTTTTATGGCGCTACTTCTCATTTACAATAAATGTTTTTTTTTGTGAAAAAAAAACTTTGATTCTCGTTTCTGTAAAGTTAATAAAGTGGCGTTAAAGTTAAACTGTCGATATGTATGTATCATGGGGTAAAAAGGTGTGTGGATTAAAGATATGCCAGCCCCATCATATCTTAGCATTATAAATTACAAAATTACTACAAAACAACGACGATTCATTGTTGCAAAAAATATATATAAGGCTTTTGAATATTTCCGACTGCGAATCTGCCAATATTGTTGCGATTATACATACAGCAAAACCGAGGAAGGACAGACAGACGGACATGATGAAACTATAAGGTTTCCTTGTTAGGACTATGGCACCCTAAAAATGCCCTTCCTCTACTGGGAATCGAACACGGGCCGCCCGGGTAGCAGTTGTGCTTTCTACCACGGATGCTTGTTGATAAAGTCTGTTTAATTTTATAACAATTAAAGATGTAATGCGACATGATAGAAATAAACGAAAAAATTGTAAATTTAAATTGAAAAAATTTAATGAAAAATCACTTTTAAAAAAAAATCTTCGACGTATGGGTACGGTCAGAGTGCACTCAGTATTTATTTCTCGCGCTTGTTTTCAGAATCTGAATCTGAGTGCACTCTGGCCGCACCCTACGGCTAGAGTGCACTCCTGGGGGCCTACCGCCTAACGAGATTGTTTTGGCTAATGCTATAGCTTATTATTGAATTTTGTTATTTCTGGCCGCCGAAGGTTTTCAAATCTCCTTTCCTCGCTCTCTTTTTGCATTAGTAATAATAATATTAAATAAACTGACCACGAAGTATTAGAAAACCTTCCGCCGTCAGAAATATCAAAATTAAATCATAAGCCATAGCCAAAGCAATTCCGTTAGGCGGTAGGCCCCCTGATTCAGATTCAGATTCAGACTCAGAAAACAAGCGCGAGAAAAAGCAGGCAACCTGCTTAGACTACACTGTTTATTTCACGCGCTTGTTTTCGGAATCTGAATCTGAATCTGAGTGCACTCTGGCCGTACCCTATCATGTATGACACAACAAGAAAAAAAATCTTTTGGAGTTTACTCCTTAAGAATCGATTTGCATATATTATTATAAGGGGCCCGGTATGAGAAAAATGTGAGGAGTAAAATCTATCGATGAATGACCTCGTTACGTTTTTGGTGCGCATCCTATGTCGAGCAACTTTGACAAACAAAGATGACGGATTGACATTAATAAAATTTTAAAAATCCTAACTGAATTTAGATATTGTTTCTGATAGAGCAATGGGGACAAAGAGGTATGGTACAACCATTGATGCGGTATTTTCAAGATTCGTGAACCACGTATCTACGAACGTCCATGTGTCTTATTTTAGTTACCATAAACCACTTGTCACTGTAATTAATAATGCAGACAATGTTGATTTAATTAATATTTAAAATATGATAATAGTCTGATAATAATAATTACATAATTTATCAACATTCCTAATGATATATTTATGCACATCTGAAATTGACTATTGTAAAAAGTTTAATGTAAAATATTTCGTCGATTAGTTATAATAAATGTATATGAAATGAATAAATATATATTTATATATGTATATTATTTTCATTAATTTGTTAATTTACCCTTTCATACAGTATCGATATTTTTTAAGTTAAATAAACTCTTTTTGCGTCTGGTTAGACTATCGAACTTAAGGAGTAAACTCCAGTCGTGCGTCGGAGCTGACACACACATTTTTTTTACAATCTTCTTTATTTAGAGGCTTTTACCTTATAAAGATATGCCAGCCTCATCATATCCTAGCATTATAAATTACTATAAAACAACGATTCATTGTTGCAAAAAAAATATATATAAGGCTTTTGAATATTTCCGACTGCGAATCTGCCAATATTGTTGCGATTATCCCTACACCGAACACGTTTATATTATGTTTTTGCAATAATGACATAATGGTGTCGATTCTGGCAGGATTCTCTAAACTTAAAACTAAATTTAACATCAGTCTGTCCTTTTCATTCTGTATAGAGAAGGGCAAGGATGCACTGTTGTCAAATTTAAGTTTAGCTTTAGAGAACCATGCCAGAATCGACATCAATATTCGACTTTGGGCAAGCATTCTACATAAAATGCCAACATTTCAGTTATGTACGTATTACGTTTACGTACTCATTACGTTTACGATTTAGAGACCCATGTTTTACACGGACAGACAGAAAGACAGACGACAACAATAGGGTTCCGTTTTTACTCTTTTGGTACAAACCCCAAAAATGACCATATAGTACAGTCAATCTGTCGAAAAAAAAATCGTTTCAGTTAAAAAAAAACCTAAAGGTTAAGTCTTGTTTTTTCTGTTGCCAAATGACGTCAGTAAGCCGCCTTGGCGATGGGCATGTTCAACTCGTAGGCGTTTTTTGAAAAACTCAAAAAAACACTCAAAAAATTTTTGAAACGCATTTTTCTTGCTTTGTATGCATTTTAGAAACTTTTTTTATCCATAATTGTAGAGGGCGTTGAGTACTACAATTTATGTCATTGTTGCAATCTCGTACAACAAAAAATGCGCATTGAAGGTGGCGCTAAAGTCTCAAAAAAAAGTGTTTTTTCACTTTTTCACCCTGAAAATATCATTTTAATGGAAAACTTTAAACGGAAAAGTTGTTCCGTACATAATTACCAACAACTTTTGTATAAACAATTTTTTTGTACTACTTACCGTTTTCAAGTTATAAATTGCGCAGGTATGATAAATCCAATAGAGCGGTTTTGGGCAGTTCAAGTACACATTTGCAGTGCACTGTTCAATGTACGTTTTACTATTTTTTATTTTTTTTCATGATTGTAATAATTTTGATTTGTTATTGACGTGAAATATCGACAATTAGAGCTTTGGATTCATTTTCTTGCATGAATTAATTGCAGGAACAAAAGTAGTTGATAGAAAAATGATTATTTTGTCGAACATATGAGATAAAAATTCTAAATTGTTATTAACTTATTTCCTGCTGTTAATCCGAGCAACATTTGGAAAAAAAAATATTTCAGATGTGCAACTTGAATTAATACATGATAATCGCTTCAAAGTTTAATAATAAAATTTAACTCCAAGAATAAAGTCTCCATAGGACCGAAAAAATTACCGTTAGTAGCACTGTGTTGTATACGTAGCGCTGTATTGCACTGTAACTTGAAAACTGTAAGTAATTTAAAAAAATTGTTCATACAAAAGTTGTTGGTAATTATGTACGGAACAACTTTTCCATTTAAAGTTTTCCGTTAAAATGATATTTTCATGGTGAAAAAGTGAAAAACACTTTTTTTGAGACTTTAGCGACACCTACAATGCGCATTTTTTGTTGTACGAGATTGCAACAATGACATAAATTGTAGTACTCAACGCCCTCTACAATTATGGTCGAAAAAAAGTTTAAAATGCATACAAAACAGGGTTTTTTTGAGTTTTTCAAAAAACGCCTACGAGTTGAACATGCCCATCGCCAAGGTAGCTTACTGACGTTATTTGGCAACAGAAAAAACAAGACTAAGGGTGCGGCCAGAGTGCACTCAGATTCAGATTCTGAAAACAAGCGCGAGAAATAAACAGTGTAGTCTAAGCAGGTTGCCTGCTTTTTCTCGCGCTTTGTTTTCTGAGTCTGAATCTGAATCTGAATCAGGAGTGCAATCTGGCCGTACCCTTCGACTACACTGTTTATTTCTCGCGCTTGTTTTCGAAATCTGAATCTGAATCTGAGTGCACTCTGGCCGCACCCTAAGGGTACGCGAGAAATAAACAGTGTAGTCTAAGCAGGTTGCCTGCTTTTTCTCGCGCTTTGTTTTCTGAGTCTGAATCTGAATCTGAATCAGGAGTGCAATCTGGCCGTACCCTTCGACTACACTGTTTATTTCTCGCGCTTGTTTTCGAAATCTGAATCTGAATCTGAGTGCACTCTGGCCGCACCCTAAGGGTACGGCCAGAGTGCACTCAGATTCAGATTCAGATTTCGAAAACAAGCGCGAGAAATATAGTGTAGTTTAAGCAGGTTGCCTGCTTTTTCTCGCGCTTTGTTTTCTGAGTCTGAATCTGAATCAGGAGTGCACTCTGGCCGTACACTGTTTATTTCTCGACTTCGACTACACTGTTTATTTCTCGCGCTTGTTTTCGGAATCTGAATCTGAGTGCACTCTGGCCGCACCCTTACCCTTTAGGTTTTTTTTTCACCACTCAACCTACAGATTGACTGTACTAATAATAAAGACTGTACCTGAATGAAAAATGGAATCTCGCTATTTTAGTCACCCTGCCCCTCTAACATGGCCACCGAAACGGCAATTTAACGGCATTAACTGTCAGACTACTGTCAAACTCCACTGAAGTCTGACAGTTAATAAAATCGCTATAACATATCCCGTTTCGGTGGTCATGCTAGAGGGGCTTGCCTAAACGAACATTATGAAAATCCGAAAAGATCACATTATTGAGAACCTCCTTTTTTTAAAATTGGTAGTTAAATAGGAATAAGTAGGACCTATCCAATTCAAGTAAAAAAAAACAATACTTTTTTTAACAAACATTTATGTAACATGATGACAAATAAATATGCCTCTAAGTAACAGAAGTAGTAGTAAACCAAGTTTAGTTGGTACAAAACAGTAAGTTCAGTGTTTTTACCAACTGAACTATAGCCACTAAGGGTATTTTTCAAATTTACTACCTCCCATGTGAGGTAAATCAATTTTACAGCATTTTGAATTAAATACTAGCTACTTCCATCCAGAACATCAGTGATAAAAAAATATCTTCAAAGATGTAACATTAAGATATAGTAATGCAATGAAATAGACAAGATTTTTAACTAGCTATTAGTTTCCAATAATAATCTACACACATATTATATAGAGCAAACAAGGGACAAATATAATATTAAGTTGCTATGAACAGCGTGCGTACTTTTTAGTTGGGTAATACTTTATTTGGAAATATTTTCGTTAATTTATTGACTATGGGAGTGTACGCAATACTTCTATGGTTAATTTCTTATCTAAGGCCCGTATTAATAGATCGCTCTCAACTTTAAGACTACGAGAAAATATAACTAGAAAAAATTCCACGCGGACCAGGCAGCAGACGGGACTCGAACCCGCACCCTTCGCAATCCGGGCGAATGCACTGACCAATTATGCTACCGCGGCCCTCACGGACCGCGTCGAAATTCCTTCTAGCTATTCTTAAGCTGCAAGGCAGCGCCATCTCTTCGCATTATAGGTAAACCCACAATGTCAAATGAATACTTTTACAAGTATTAAACATTTGAAAGAAGAAATAGCAATTATAGTTATAATTTTTATTATTTTTTAAAGCATGTAACTGCTTGATGTTTAAATCTAAAGAAAATATAATATTTTTTTTACTGTTTTGTACCAACTAAACTTGGTTTACTACTACTTCTGTTACTTAGAGGCAAACATCAAGCAGTTACATGCTTTAAAAAATAATAAAAATTATAACTTTAAGACTACGATCTTGAGATACAGTTTTTATACAAAACAGTATCTCAAGATCGTATAGATCGCTCTCAGAGTTGAGGGCGATCTATAAACACGGGCGTAAGACCACCCGCAACCCACCGACGGCAGCCGTCGACATGGCGACGTATGACGGCACAGTCTTCTCCACGTCGACGGCAGTGTTTGACGGCTGCAGTTGCGCAGCCGTCGGCTGTGCTCGTGTACAGGCAGTTCTCGACTTAAGTCGTGTTTCAAGTTACGTCAAACAATGTTTGGCACTATTCCTCAAGCATACGTCAATTGTTTCGATTTCCGGCATAGGAGAATTCATTTGTCGCGAGGTCAATGTCCGTGGGGATAACTCGAATTACGTCGTTTTGCTTTACGTCGCGTAAATCGAGAACCTAACATGCCGTAAGTACGAGGACTGCCTGTATATTAAGTCTTACTGTAATAAAATGAAAAATTGCTAGTGATATTATGACTCCACCCAACCCACCTGATAGTAAAAAAACAGTCAAGTAGAGGCGGACTAGCACACAAAGGGTTCTGCACCATTATCTATACAACATTAAACACTACATTTTAATATCAAGCAAAAAAATGCAAAAACATCATGTCTGTTATATCAGATCACCCATTAATTTGCTTCAGATTCAATTAGATATCTTTACAAATTCTCAATACTATTGACAGATTGGCTTTCTCCTGTACCTTTTGAAATAGTTACAATTTACAAATTATCAGCCACATGGCTTATACAGAAACCGTGGTGTGCATCCGCACCTATGTAAACCCAAGTACAGTACTTGAAAACATTGTTGTAGGCTGTTTGGTTGAAAAGTTTCGCAAGAAATGGTACACAGACACTGTGAGTGAACCCAGTTGTTTGTTACTACTAGCAGCCAAAAAAGCCTTGGATCCCACAACATATTTGCTTTACGAAACATGGCCTTTGGAGAAGGAAAAGCCTTATAGTATTAGAATTTTTGCTTAATAGTGGCATACCACAAACTAGTAATAAAGACTTAATTTTATAGATAATTAAAAAATATCACAATAAAATAATGGATGAATTATCTGATATAATATTTGGTAAGTATAAATTTTAACCAAACGATATAAACTATATCAAAACATTTTCTTTTTCATAGCAGTATATCTCTCTGTATATTCATTATATCCTTCAACAGAAGCCAGCTGTTTCACTTCAAACAAATTGCCATCTAAGTTCAATGTGTGGATTTTAGAATCTCTCAACAAACTTGGATTTATAGCTTCTAAACTTAAACAGTTCTCTTCTAGTCTTAATATTTTCAGTTTTGGAGCTTCATGTAAATCTTCACTTAACACAGATATTTCATTTTGACTTAAATTCAACTCCACTGCATAAAATTTTGACATTCCAGGTGGTATTTCAGTAATTTTATTGTAAGACAAATCTACAACTTCCAGATTGTGCAACCCAATCAATTCTAATGGGAAATGCTTTAATTTATTGTTGTTCAAATATATCTGTTTTAAATTTGTCATACTCATAAGCGACTTTGGAAGACTACCAATTGAATTATCGGCCACATTCAATAATTCTAATTTCTTTAAATTTGATAAAGACTCTGGTACAGTTTCCAATCGGTTGCTTTCTAATTTAAGTTGTTTAAGCTGCTTAAATTTACTGATATCATCAGGCAAATGCGGTAGTCTATTTTTAGATAAATCTAAGTTCCTTAGTATTTCGCTCAAATTATGTACTTCAGGTGGAATTTCTCTCAACTTATGTTCAGCTAACTGCAGAACACCAGTCTTTGCAGCTGTCTCATAATGTTGTTTCAAACCAGAATTACCCATAGCGACGTGATAAAAAATGTGGCTTCTCAGACGATATTTGTCCAATAAAACATGGAAATTATCACAGAATATTTGATTCGTATAGAGTTAATTAGTAGTGAAGCTCTAAAAAATTGCCTTTTTTAAATTATTTTGTAGTGATTTCGTGACGGCTTGTCCCATTCTCGCCCCGTCACAGATGAATGACAGCTGACGGTTATTATCTGTCATATTTATCTGTGACCAAGGACCTCATTCAGTGGTATCGATTCTAGCATGATGGTGTCAATTCTGGCGTGCATCTCTAAACTTAAAACTAAATTAAAGGTCAGTCTCACCTTTTCATTCTGTATAGAGAAGGACAAGGATGCACTGTTGTCAAATTTAAGTTTAGGTTTAGAGAATCATGCCAGAATCGACATCACTGTAAAGCTAAACTTAAATTTGACAACAGTCTGTCCTTTTCATTCTGTATAAAGAAGGACAGGGATACACTGTTGTCAAATTTAAGTTTAGCTTTAGAGAATCATGTCAGAATCGATACCACTGACGGACGAAACCCATAAGCCGGAAATATATTTATTAGGTGTGTTGTGTCGTGCGTGACCATAGATAGATAGGATAGCGCATTATGCCGGACCACAGTAGGTCGGATAGCAGCGCAATAATCCATTCAAATCGCTCGTATTTATTTTATGCTTAGAGCATTTAAACACTGGAGATGGCATGGGCGGGCTCACCCCTCCGCCAAAACGATCGTGGCCATGGCCATGCCATGATCGTTATATAAAACTAGTTCGCGCGGGACCGCTACCATTTTGGATCGTTCTGCAGCGTGATCGGAGCTCCCACAAAAATGGAAAATTATGTGGTTTTCCCACGCAAAAACCGATCTGACACTTCAATCTTGCTGAAACATGGTGTTTCCTATCATATACAAGTATTTTTAAGTTCAAAAAAGTTAGTATTCTGGTATAAAATTCAATTAAAAGAAAAGGCGCGTAATCACGAATGAATGACAAAAATAATAGGTAGAAATTCATAGTGATGTGACGAAAATTGAATGAAATAAATGAATAGTATTTTTTTATACTGGAAAACATTCAACCAGGTTTAATTAAGTGTATCTGCCGATACAAATAACATGCTGATAAACAAATATACATCGACAGATCTTACAAAAAAAAACAAATATTCAATCATTCACGATCTATAACTTAACCTAACGAAGGTGTCGATTCTTGCATGGTTCTCTAAGCTTAAAACTAAAGTTAATAATACTTTCTCCTTTTCATTCTGTATAGAGGATGACAAAGATACACTTGTCAAATTCAGGTTTAGAGAACCCTGCCTTTCGACACCAAAATGTTTCTTTCGACGTTGAAATACGATAATATGTATAAAAAATATAGCTGTAGTAAAGCTTTATATCAATGCCGGTAAATAGCCACATAAAATTTTGAAAACTTACTATTTTTTTGACGTTATACTTCTTTAGGCGCGTTATGAAAAAATGAGAGTGAAATTTTAAGATGCGCGCGCATCACTGTAACACAAAAATTAACAGCATGAACTTCATGCTGTTACTTTTGTGTTTACCGCAAATTAAGAAAATCTACCAACAAAATAGAAATAGAATCTCTATTTAGTGGGTGCTAACGACTGCATTGTGAAGGCCTATCAAAAGTATTTATTAATCTGGAACAACGGAACCAAAGCGCGATTCAGGAGACTACAGCGCCATCTCTTGACCACTGGTGTAGTAGAACCAAAAACCACATCTTTATTTTTTGTAATAAAGTAACAGTTATAGGTATTCATATTTATAATATCAAAAGTATTTATTAATCTGGAACAACGGAACCAAAGCGCGATTCAGGAGACTACAGAGCCATCTCTTGACCATTGGTGTAGTAGAACCAAAAACCACATCTTTATTTTTTGTAATAAAGTAACAGTTATAGGTATTCATATTTATAATATTTATCCACATGTTTCTAATTTGTATATTCGGAATACGTGTTTGAATTTCATACAAGTGCAAATCACATATGTTCTAATAAATTATATTCAGTAGCGATTTTAATTGAATATTTTGATTATTTATTTATTTTTCAAATTAAAACTGAACTTTATTGACTGTGTCCATTTCCAGACTTTTTATTAATTTATTGTAATTAATTATTTGCATGCAATTAAAAACTAATTTTAAACGATGCCAAAGAAGGATAACTTCTTATGCGCCTACATAAGTACACGCACCCATTTTTTGTTTATTTATTGGCAATACATTGATGTAAATAGCATATTGGTAGAAGAAAGTAAATCAAATAATAGTTAGTTAGCAGGTCAGCTGCCCACATCGAGCGACTTTTATTACCTTTTAATTAACAACCTGTTTTTAATAGCTATTAAATGGCCTATGCTCAGCAGTGGGCGCCATACGGCTGATATGATGATGATGATGATGATGAAATGGCAAATTTAGAGGAAAATGCCATCACACGAGCCTACATTTTATTTAGTTGCACCGTGATTATTATCGTGTCGTGAAAAAGAATAACATTTTGTTAGGTATCGTTTTACATATTGAACTGTTTTACAAATTGAACAAAATATTTGTGAGTGGACTAGTAGTGTGTTTCTGAAAAACCCAATATGGTACTAACACGTTCAGGTTCTGGCGAAAACGGCGGTCAACAGATGCCAATAACAGAAAATATCACAGCGCACACATTGGATTCTGGCCTGGCCCACATGCCGCCGGATACCTCACCTTCGCCTGTTGAGGGCGCAAGCGGCTCCGCCACATCTACAGTGCAGTCTCAAGCCACACCAATGATCACGACTGACCAACAGCTGAGTTACCTTTTACAGTCTTTGCGAACTCCACAAATGTTCACTCCAACACTATCAAATTTTGCAAACTGTACAGCTCGTTTTGATGGGTCTGGTAATGTTGAACCCTTTATTGATTACATCACTATTTATAAACAGTGTGTGAACATGCAAGATAATATTGCATTACAAGGCTTGCCAATGCTACTTACTGGTTTTGCTGCCACATGGTACCAAGGCATCAAACACACTGTTAATTCATAGCAGGAGGCTCTTGTGATTATGAAACAAATGTTCGGAGCACATATTCCACCCCATAAAATATATAGAAAAATCTTTGAAAGAGAGCAAGGAGAGGAGAATACAGATGTATTTGTGTGTAAACTCAGAGCTCTGTTTGCACAACTACCCTCAAATTCTTTGTCTGTAGAGGTACAGTTGAATATGTGTTATGGTTTGTTGCATAGACGAATCAGAGAGAAGGTCAGCAGAAATTCCTTCAGTACCTTTGAACAATGAGGGCTATCGCGTATGAATCCGCCGCTAGAGGCGCTAGTGTAGCGTGAGGTCTCCGAAATGTCAAATGTTATTGCTTGTTGGTTGTCTACGCGGGTTTATTTCTTATTAAAATAATGTTGTGAATAATTGGTAACAATTCGGCTTAATTATGGCAAATATGAGTTATGTGGCAATGAATATCAGTTATTAAAAATTTGAGCTTAGAAAAATGATTGTGTTCCCATTTTTTCCGAATAAAACGGAATTCCGCGTCACTGTGGCATGGCCTATTATGTTTAGGATATGGTTCTTTTGTGTTAAAATATGATCTAAATGTAACCTTTGATTTCATGTGCGTATTAATAAACTTTAAAAGTTACAATTTAGGACCTCACTCAACAGTGGCGCCATCTGGTAAGGCAGAAAACGGTAGCCCTCATTGTTGGAATCCACTCGCCGAGTTGAAGACTTGCTAGAGGAGACACATCCAAGGGTTAAGAGGCCATCTTCTGCTGTGTACAGATTATACTCTAACAGTGATATAAAGACTACTTCTCCGGCTATTTCGGTAACAAAATCTTCCACCAATGAAGCATCGTCCCGTTCGGTTGCTGACTATGAAAGAAAATTCCGTCCCCGCTGCATATATTGTAAACAATATGGACATAAGCGAGAACAGTGCCGCAAGATATTAGGAAAGGAGGATGTCCAGAAGCTATCACAGAGCAAAGCGGTCCCAAATGATCACAGCACTATTGTATGCTTTGGATGTGGTACGCCAGGAGTTATCAGGTCTAACTGCACCAAATGTGAAAGTAAGGGTGAGTCAACATCGACTACAGAATTTCAGTCTATACAATTATGTAGTACTTTGGTTGATGCTCGTCCCCGACCATTATTAAAGATAAGTATTCATAGTATAACTGGTCATGTTTTAATTGACACAGTAGCTACAATGTGTATTGCTAGCGAAAGCCTCAATAATGTATTAGTTAAAAATAATCACCGAATGACCAATTCTGTTGTAGAAATGAAATTAGCTGATGGCTCTATTTGTAAACAAAATGTCAGAATATGTACTGTAAATGTTACTGTGTGTGGAATTGTTGTCCCTACTGTTTTTATTGTATTACCTGGAGCCACTGATACATTATTAGGTATGTATTTTATATGTGATGCGGGCATAGTGCTTGATCTTAAATTTAATCGGTTTTCATTAAAGTCCAATAAAGATGTGTACTACCCTTTAGAGTTTGAAGGCAACAAAGACAGTCTGGGCTGTTCAGTCGCAGGGCTACGTGATGACGAGGGTACCACACTATCCCTTTCGGAACGACAGAAACTTTCTGTAGTATTAGTGGAAAACGCCGACATCTTTGCACCAGGGGGAGCACCCACCTCGTTCGCAGTACATCGCATCGATACTGAAGACAGCGCACCAGTGGCTGTGCCTCCTTATAGATTAACCCCTGCCAAGAAAGAGATTATGGGCAATGAAATTAATAAGATGCTGGAACAGGAGGTTATAGAAGAGGCTGAATCTGAATGGGCGTCGCCAGTAGTTTTAGTTCCCAAGAAGAATGGGGAGATACGCTTCTGCGTTGATTACCGAAAGCTCATCGCCGTCACCCGGACAGTCAAGTACCCCCTCCCGGTTATAGATGACCTCCTGTTTTCAACCAAGA